GGGAGGGGCCAGCCAGCGGTGGGATTTACCAGTTCACCGAACCGGCCATTAAAAATGATAAAAATTAGCTACCGGTTCAACCAAACTGGTAGCATCCCAGCCCTGAGGTGCAGCCATTTTTATGGTAGCCTTTGTCTATTCTTCTTTTAGCTTGCTTTAAGGTTTCTGCAAAGGAATTTAACGGGGCTTCAGGCTCGCCACATTCTACCAGCAGGAAGGCGGGGGGGGGGAGTTGTAGAGATAAGGCCGAATGTTAGGCCTAGCTGGCATTCCTTCCTGTGGGGAATGAGAAGGTGCCTGCTGCAGCGGGCGGAAGGTGGAGTTTGGAGTCATCGGACTGATGGACAGTGAGCTGATTGGAGAGGGTGACTACGGGGGGGGAAGTTTCAAACTTTGGCTTTTATTGGATATCATTCCATAATCTGGCCAGAGTTGGAATTGCACCAAGACCTTGTGTCATGCCTTTGTTAGAGTCGGACTCCGAGGGAGAGGAGGAACAGCCGACAGGGAGTGGAGGTGTGGCTCCGGAGGTTGTGGAGGAGGCTGGGGAAGGACAGAGGCCAGCTGGGTAGTCAGAGGAAGAACCAGGCCCATACCCTCTCCATCCTAGGATATGCAGGGAAGAATGGAGAAAGGAACAACGTGGCTTACGGGAGAGGAAGCGGCCATGATCCCCCTCATTGGCTGCAGCTGGGGGGAATAGTATATAAGAGAGATGGTTAAAACACAGCGTTGCTAGAAGCAAAGCGTGTTTTATTTTGGTCTGAAGTTATCTTGGTTGGCGTCCTTCCCACAGACTCTGCCTTGTTATCTCCTTGAAGTTGGTAATTACTTATCCTGGTCCGTTATGGAATTTCCTTCATTGTAGTTTGTTTTAGTTTTAATTTCACCTCTATCTGCTCATTAAGTTCGGACTGTATGGCTTTCTTTTGAAGACTATTTTTGAGTACGTTTTATCTCCAACTGAGAATTATTGAGCAGTGGGGCCAAGTTGGAGGCATTAAAGGACATTTATTCACATTTTGGATTTTGTTACATTTGTGTTACACTCTGCGTCATCACACCTGGCCAGTTTGATATGTTCTTAATAAATGGACTTTGATGGAAAATGGGTGCCTTGGGTTTTTATTCTGGGGACATATTCCTTGGAACCTGGACATTATTCCGCCTCTTGACATTCACATCCACAGGATGAAAGGCTGGAGAACCTGCAGAGAAGGGCTGGAGACCTGAGACAGAACTGCAGGATTTGCAAATGGTTGTCAGTCTGTACAGGTGTCTGTCCATCCAGCCACAGGCACATATACACACCCAGGGGTGGGATTCAGAAAGGAAAGGAAAGGAA